CGAGTGGTCTAAATGGTCTAAATGCAATGCGCGTTATTTGACTATTTGTACTCTCTGCTCTAAAACCCGATCACCCCGGTGGAAAGGCGTCTTCTGACGAAAACGAGTCATTTCAAGTTAGTCGTATATATTTCACACTGGTCCCTGCGATAAGCTGATGTTCTCCACACGCTTCCGAGTCATCGCAAACAGCGTAATGCGATGAGGGCTTCTCGAGCTTCCAACACTTGATAAACTTCGGTTATTACTCTGTTGTATTTCGCGTCAGTCTGAGACCAGTCTGTGTGTTGTACATACCACGTGACAGCAGAGGAACCGACCCATAATTTCCTTGTGGACGGAATACTGTCCAGTTGCCCAGGACAGTGCACGTGAGATTTCTTCCTATATTCACAACCGGAGCTTTCCACTGGCATCGATCCGGTAAATTTGTGTCGTAAACGATGGTGCTCGTGCATCTTTTCAATTTCCTTGCAACCTTATTCCACTGAAATTCTTTATTTCCTCTTCGGCTCTATATTCACGTTTCCTGTCTTTCTCCTACTGCTTCATCCAAATGAGCAGCCGAACGAGAGCAACCAAAACCGGCGCACGAAAGATCATGGTTATTGATTTTAAAAGCTGTCCATTTAATCAATTATACGCCCTTTGGACGGGATCAGATACACGAGATGATCAACTCAACTTGACATCCATTCGAACCAGTGACAGCTGTCAAAATCAAGGGGGCCTGGGTTCGGTTTCTGTGCGTCTTCCAGCTTTTCACAGTTCACTTTCCCGTTACTCCTGTGCCCCCAGCCAGCAACGAGCGTCTTTAGCATTAACTGGTCTAGCTTCGGAACCGTGTAATAGCGCTACGCAGTTTGCCAAACCTTCCAGAGTAAGATTATTACCATGTGTAGGCCACAACTCGAGAATTACCAACTCTTCTGGATATCTCTTCAACCAAATACGGTATAGCCCCGTGACATAGAAAAATACTGATGATTTTCTGTCAGCGTGTTTCAGACTGTCGGTCTTGAGTGACTATCTCGGAGGGCAAAAACCCTACCAGATGATCCAACGCCTGTATTTTCGGAAATCAGGATAATATCGTTAGCGTCTTATAAGTTACAGACTATATCCATAAAGGTGCTCCGCACACGTTCGTTTTCGAGATCGATCAACACTGTTTCGAGGATGCTGTTCACAGTAAGGTTGAACGATAACGGTGCAATTAGGCTTCCTTTCCCTGATCCACCACAACCGTGGTGAACAAGCATTTCTCGTGGAGCAAACAATCTCGTGGTGTGAGTCAAACACTGCTCTAGCTGTGGCGGTGTTCGGGTATCTTACGAAGGGTGAAGATTCGATCTTTACAGTCACATATATATATATATATATTACTTGTGTAAGCTTATATGTTTACATTTCAGTTAAAAATGTAAACTCTTCGTCACGCGGAATGAAATATACAGTTTCAAATAAAATTCAACGTAAAGAATGTCGCTGAAGTTTGTTTCATGTACTAAGCTTCTGACGTAGTTCCCTTTCGACCTGTTCCTTTTTGCTTAGGAGTCGGGTCAGGTCGGGTATAGTGGAATATTTATGAATGTCATTGCGAGAGGGCAGGTACCGAAAAGGGGAGCGTGTGGACGGATGGGAACGACAAGATGATAGATCGGGATGCATTGGATGAAGAGAGTAGTCTAGAGTCTTATTGCCAAACTTAACGCAAGAGTTACTGTGACCAATAATGAGTTCTGTGACTGATGAATCGATTCAGATTGGTGGCGCACTTCTGTTTGTTTGTCTTGTTTTAAAAAGCCGTTAAACACTTCAGGGGGGCAATAGAGTAGAATGGGCGAAACACATTGGTGAACGAAAGAGGACAAGACTGACTGTTGGGTTCGGAATTGCCAGAGTGCGTAACTGAAAAGACAGACCTTTCAGTTTTCCCATACAGTTGTATGTGTGTGGACCAAGGAAGATCGCTGTCGATGATGATTCCCAGGTACTTGACTGAGGTTATTCTGGACACAGGTATACAGTCAAGGGTAGCA